CCCCCCCCCCCAAAAAAAAAAAAAAAAAAAAAAAAAAAAAAAAACCCCCACACAGAGAAAAAAAAGGGGGCCAACTATTTAATGGTTACCGTACAACCTAAAAGCCACCACCTTCTCTTGCTTCTTCTGAAACCTTGTAAAAGGCCTCTGCTGGTTTTTTCACTGCCGTCTCATTTCGGAAGTCAAGCCGTTAAAAAAAGTCATGTGTAAGCACCGAGGGAAAATACACGAGAAAAATTAAATAATTGCATATAACAATAACAATTTGAATAATAGTTGCAAGTCCTCATCAATGTTTTAAAATCCAGTCCAGTCATCAACCCGAAAAAGAGATAGGGTCAAGGGCCAAAATATTCGACCAAGGTCAAATTGGAGGTAATAAATAAATATTTATAAACATTTAAATTTTATTTTCACATCAATAGATAATTAAATTTTTACGCCATCAGTTCAAAATAAATACAAATATTTTAAATGTATGTTTTTAATATAAATTTTAATAGTTTTTAATCTGTTGGATCACTTAAAAACTCATTTCAATTTTACTAAATAATTTGTAAAGTTAAAAAAAAGTTTAACAATCTATAGAAATTGAATAATTCAATTTTGTAGTCATGCACCATGTGACTATAAATAATATTGAAAAAGTGTACTTTATTGAAATTTGTCAATTCCACATTGAAAGTCTTTTGAAAGTGTGTTTTATTGAATTTTGTCAATCCCACATTGGAAATTCATCTATTACCGGCGAGCCCCCGCGGCCGCCCGTGTTGGATCGTCGGAGCTCAATTTTTTTTGCTGTCCAAGTATTTATTTGTTTAGATATATTTCTGTGATTTCCTTTGATTCACACCAACTCCTTGTTGCTCAGCTGGTTAGGGCACCACAGTGGTGAAAGGGCGTCCGGGGTTCGATTTTCAATTGTTGCAATTCCCTTTTGTAATGATTTTAGTGTAATATTTTTCACCATTTTGGAGCAAATAGGCATTAAAACTGGTGCAAGAGGAAGAATCGAACCTGTGATCTCCATTAGAATAATGGACAATTTAACCACTATGGAAGTTAGTGGATGTTGACAATGTGAGCAACAAAAGTCTATATATTCTTTTATCCCAATGATATACGCCCTCCTTTGTAGAAAAATAAAATTCAACCATGCTGAGATTATTAAAATAGTCACTTTTTTTTTCTATTAAACTGGAATTATTAGCGGATCGAACCAAGAAAGTAAATAATTGCACAAATTTTCAAATTTCAAATTGTTACTCAATAAACATTATTACAATGGTAGATAACGTACACTCACACTTATAATTCGAACTACGATATAAGCCCTAGTTTGACCCCCTTTAAAACTTATCAATTTAAATTAAAAAAATTTCTTTCCTATTTTCAACCACATAATCTTCAATAAAATAATATTACACGTAAATCGAAAACTTTTCATTCTTTTATAACTATCAATTTTTAATTTTTTTTAGAAAAACATTATTTTCCCATTATAAATCCAAATAATGGGGGCCAAACGGGGGCTAAGTAATTTCAACTCACGGCATTGGTTATTATTGCGACCATCGACAGTCAACGGCCGCCCGTGCTCAATTAAAATCTTGGATTCGCCACTGGTTAGAAGAATGTATTTTGTTGATCTCGTATTTTGTAGTGAAGATGTGGCTAACAGATCTCATTTCTCTCACATCCATGTAGCCTCTTCCTACACACTTTGACAAATCAACAAAGCACTTAACCTTCTTCGGTAATGTGGGAGGTGATCGTGAGCACTCCTATAATCAAATAAGTATATTTTGTAGTAAATATTTGGATGTGGGATGTCTTAAAAACGTGAGCCATAGAAAGGGGTTTGAATTCGGAATATGTAGAGAATAAAATGGGAGAGCAATGTTATTGTTGAATGTATAATATTGCATTACTTTTAAATGACATTAAGTGTGACATTTATAGTAAAAAATATTAAATTACCACTGTTAGATCAAGAGACGTGGCCTCATCATGATGTTTGCGCCTTATCGTAAGCTTCATTCTATCAATCCTAGACTAAGGCACATTATATGCTCTGACCGTTTACAACTTTATGGTCTAGCTTAAAAGGACTAGACTTGACACTTTGACTTAATAGAGTGACTGCTGTAGTGAATAACCATATCAATCAATCTTAGAAGAACTTGCATGGAAGATCATTGTAACGTCTCACCTCATCCATAAGGTTCGACCTCGCCATAAGGGTTCAACCCCTTCACAAGTGTTCAGCCTCCCCATGATATGTCCTAGCTTGTAAGGACTGTACTTGACATTTTGACTTAGTAGAGTAATAGATACATTGTGTGGTCACATTAATCAATCATGGAAGATCCCTGCAACGTCTTGCCTCATCCATGAGGGTTCAACTTCTCTATAAGGGTTTGGCCCCTTCATAACGGTCCAAGATCCTCATGAGCCCTCTATGGCCTAACTTGTAAGGAATAGTCCACACATTAAATGAATATTTATTTATGGACTTGGAGGACTAATGTTATGCCTTTTCTAGCAAGGTTCCATATTGCAGCCACATAGTAAGTGAACCTAGGCCCACACTCAATGCCATCCTAACCATGTAGCATATCCTATCGAACCCCCATGAAGAGGCCAAACCCTTACAACAAGCCCCAACCCTCATAGACGAGGCGAGGCGATGCGAGGTGGTATAAGAATCTACCATTTAAGATTTTCAATGGTTGATTGATGTGATCACTTACTGGAATAGCTACTCTACTAAATCAAAATGTCAACTTTATTCTTTGCAAGCTAGGCCATAGGGATCATGAGGAGATCGAGGCATTGTAAAGGTGTGAACCTTTATATAGAGTCTGAACCCACATTGATGAAACAAGGCAAGACGCTATAGGGATCTTCAGTACAAGATCTTCCATGATTGATTGATTTGACCACTCATTGCATCAACTACTCTACTAAATCAAAATGCCAAGTCTAATCAAGCTAGGACATAGGGCTGCAAACAATCAAAACATTAAATGCACCTGAACTTGGGATTTATAGAATGACGCCATGAAAAAAGCGCTTCAACAATTAAGATGATGTCACATGTCTCTTTATCCAACGGTGGTAATTTTTCTTCTTCTACTTGTAACAATTCATACTAATTGTTATTTGAAGGTAATGCAATTTTATACACTTAACACATTGCTCTCCCATTTTACTCTGTACATATATTCAAGGATCCAAACCCCCTTTTTGTAGCTCATGTCTTTAGCATGTCACACACCCATATACTTACTACAGATAGATTGAGTCGACTATTGAGTGCTAGCGGCTACCCTCACTACCGAAGAAGGACACGTGCTCTAATAATTTGTCCAAGTTTGTAGGAAAGAGACACGTGGACGTGATAGGATTAGATATTTATTGGCCACGTCCCCACTACAAAAAGAAACAAAGTCAACATATTCGGTAACTCCAATTTACAAAATATAATGTAAATTAACAATTCATTGTTAATAATGCAGCATAACACGTAGTTTTAAGAATCGATCTAGATGCACATGAAGGATTAGAGCATGAATCGCTTGCCAATCATATGTTCCTATTCAGTTCTTCCATCTTCAGTCTATTCGATCTCATGTCTCTGTGTTATTTCTAGCTCGAACCCCAACACCATTTTGTTGGATTCTCAACGTGTTATAAACTTGTGACAACCCTACTGTTTACATTACACTTACCAAAAAACAAGCCATTGGCCAATTGTTTCTTTCCTGGCCACAAAGCGAGGCAGATATCACATTGTTAAACCATAGCTCAGATTATACAAAAAATTTCTCACCCCGACACTTTGATCTTAGTTTTGGATGATATGTTCGACAAAGAAAATTGAATAACACTATACATTATTTAAAAGAAATAAAAGAAGCACAAATCTTGTTCACTCCATCGCCTAACACTGTCCATTTTTGTGTATGGACATGCATTGAAATTATGGCTCCTAATTGATGCATTAATGAATAAACTATTATACTATAATAGCATACGATGATATCTACAACATAGTAAAAGTTTGATTGTATTCCCACTATATTTTTCATGAGGTGCCTCTCGATCTTTCATACTTGAAGCTTCTTGTTTTGGCTTCCCAAAAAAAAAAAAAAAAAAATGCATCTCGCATAAATAATATATCTTTTCAAACTACGTACTCTACAGGGAAGAGAACCGATTTTTAAGTTCTTCCAAATAACTAAAGCTATATCAACAAGAAAGGAGAAAAAAAAAAAAAAAAAAGGAACTTACCAAGTCCGACCCTCATTCACTTAAAGTTCTCTTCAAATCGACAACTATAACGCAGATATTATCAGCACTTTTCCGCCCCAAGGCAAGGCGAATAAGTAGTGCTGCTGCTGATGCACTTTGAGATGGGAATAGTGTTCCAGGACCTTCATTTGTTGTCGAAGTCTGAGCACTAGGATCCCCGGAATCGGCATGCCGATTTTCTTCTCGAAGGCACTCTCGTGCAACCTCACACGTCATCTCATTAGACATAACATCCCACAAACCATCACTTGCAAGAATCAGAAACTCATCTTCTTCATCCCTTTTTGTGAAGGAAATTTCTGGCTCTGATATCACAAAGGGTTTTAGATACCTATCTCCTGCTTGAAAATGAAAATAAGTCAAAACTTATATGAGCAACATTATGACTTGTATATATTTCATTAGTTTGACAAACAAAAAGTTGAAGACTACAAATCAAGCATCATCAAGGAAACCCAAACACAACAAATTTCCTATCTCTATCTGGTTATTTTCTAAGGTCGGCTATCATCTATGAAGAGAACTTCCAACCTTAGTAAACTTCAATATTTTTGGAATTTGCTGGTGCATTTAATGATGCTCATGATAATGTTAACACCACCTACCCTGTACGCATCGGCATTGCCACTATGTTGATTGCCCGAATGGCAATCGATCACTAAAATAGTCTCATGAATAATGTAGTCTTTAATGTCAATGATTAAACATGAAAAAGAAAAATGTAGTAGAGGGATTTGCCTGCATCTCAAGTATTAACCTGATTGATCACTTAGAGATAAAAGGATGTAGGGGCAGATAGCTAGGAAGTTTCCTTAGGAGGAGTCTTACATTGGAGATTTTCTCAAAAATGATGAACAACACCCATTCTTCACTCAAAATAGTACTTACACATTTAAACATTCCTTAATATCCTATATAATTTTACACTGAGAAACTATATAATGCATGCAGAAATAGTCAAATATTTTATTTAGGAAGAAAAGCAAGCAATCTTTGATGTTCTATTTCTCAAGAGCACGCCAAAATCAGGAGTGTTCATTGTACTAGAACAGAAACTTTTGAAAAGGCCACACTAATTTAGTGAATTGTACAAATTTTGTGACCTGGAAAATGATTTGACACGATCTTTCTCCCTCATGTGACAATGAGGCATGCATGAAAGAATAGAATGACTTAGAATAAGAATAATGCTACTTGTACACAATAAATTACATAATGATTTTTACATAGATGATGTGTCAAAAAGAGAATGAAAAAAGTTTTTTTTTATTTTAATTAATTCAATAAATTCTGACTTAGTCATATCTCACAACTATCATTCGTATGCAAGTCATTATATAAATCATTATGTAAACATAGTACAACTGTGAAAATAGTCGATTCTAGCAAAAGAAAATTACCTATAGCCCTAGACATAGCAAGAATCCCTTCAACTCGCGCTCCATCCAGATACACGACCCGTCCACCACATGCTTCCATCCTAGCACGTTCATCCTCTCTATCTGGCTGCATTTAAGTTTTGTTCCATTTCAAATAATTAAGAACCAGTTGAATTGACTAAATTGCTGGAATGGTAGAATATCACGTGTGAAAATTAGCCCTGTTTGGGCTCCATTTTAATATGTTTTGAAGAAAAATATATTTTGAAATATTAATTTAATATATATATATATATATATATATATATATATATATGGTTTAAAAAAAAGGAAAATTTTTGAATTTATGTATAATATTATTTTATTAAAAACTGTGTAATTAAAAGTAAAAAAATTTTAATGAAGTATATGCAATAAACTTTTCTCGACCTTTGTGTGTGGAAATTAATAGCCAAGACGTGTCAAAATCAACAGGCGACAAATAATCATGCATCCACTGCCAATTTGGTGCGTGCAAACTAGTGTCAGTTACCTTATGATCGAACGAGAGTGGAACTACTCTCCCGCCGCGGCACAGGACAGCGCGTGAATCACCACAATTGGCCACAACAACGTGTTGAGGTGTTAAAACAGCCACCACGGCTGTAGACCCCACGAAATTCACCTCATATCGGTCACAACTGCAGCGTAATCCGACAATCCCACAGCTGCAGGTGTTCAGCACCACCTCCTCCATTCTCATAAAACACGATTTCAGCACTCTCGTCCATTCCTCTTTTAGTCCACTCTCATCCATGGATTGTTCTTCTCGCGCCACTCTCGAGCTGCTAGCACCACTTGCATGGGGTGTTGCGTGATTTCCCACGCGCGTCAGCTCGTCTTGTAATATCACGTGCATCTTGTCCTTACACATTGAAGCAACCTACGAGCAACAATGGAACACGTGTGCATTATTTGAGACATATTTTGACCATTGATTTCTCATCATCTGTTACTTTTAGCATAAGAGAGAGAGAATGAGAATTTTTCAGTTTGAGATCAATTTTTTTACTTGGAATGTGCTGTCATTTTCAGTGATTGTAACTTAAATTCCAATTGTACTTTTTCCGAATTGTTATACAAAGCAAATTAGCGGTGAAGTTTTACATGAGATCCTCCATGTCCATCGTAAACGCCAAAGAAATGAACCGGTCGTCGACGAGTAATCTCCGGGGAGCAAAGGTTAGTACGAACAGTAATTGCATCTTCCATGTCACGCTGCCTTCCGGCGACCGCTAATGATCCAACCATCGGAACAACTATCTCTGCCCCGGAATTATTAATGTTGTCCCCTGCAGAATCACCCTGTTGCGAGCTCTCCGGCATGACATTCAAACCACCGGAAGAGGAAAACGACGTGGATCCTCCACCACCACTAGAGGCTGCCGCTGCCTCCTCCAATCGCCGCCTCCCAATCGTCCTCCGCCTTTTCTCCCTGCATTCTTGAGGCGAATCATCTTCTTCATCACCGCTCAACATTTCTGTATACTCAAAACAAACCTTTGTTCATGTGAACAACATACATTTATATATCCCCTCCCAATCTTGAAACCCCTTATATACACATAAACCATGTGTGTGTGTGTCTGCAAATAATTGTGTAACCGCTAAAGGGGGGAAATTTCGACTGTTCAAACGGAGGACACGAAAGCGCAACGTGTTGGGTTTGCTGTACTCAATATTTCTCGTGCAAGTTGCAACTCTGAATGCCACCCAACTCTCAATAGCTAGGCTGCCCTAACTACCCATTATTGTCACACTTTCGACACGTGTGCATCACATCATTTTTCTCAATAAAGTAATGCTACATACAGGGAATAATTCTTCCAATTTTGCTAAGTGTACATAGTCGAATGAAATAATGTGATGTGAAGAAAAAAAAATTCGTTGAAAAAGTTAATTTTGTTTTAAACATATAAATGATAAAGTATCACGTAGCATTATAAAGATCCCTATGTATATGTTTATATACCTGTAGCACTACTCTAATTCTTCTCAATAACACCATCTATGACCCAAACAAAAGTAAAAAGATTAACAATCAAGCTACATATTCATTAAGTTATACATTAATTTAACATCCTTATGAGTGGCATTTTTTTTATACATTGATTTTCACAATAATCTAAGCAATTAATGACACTGATTTCGACAACACTTGAAAGTGTCAAACTTAATGTACATCAAGTGTGTACAACTAGCTTTATCTGATGATTAACAATCAAAACATTAAAGGTTCATTTGACTAGCTATATTAGGACGAATAATGCTCCGCAAACAGGGGCAACTGACAAGGGGTGGCATAGTGGGATTGGGTGTTGTTTTTATAAGGATAGCAATTTACCCCGTCCTGCCTCTACGAGGCCTGCTCAGAACGGGTTGGGGGTCAAGAAAAAAAATTAAAAATAATTTTATTTCTAAACAATTCATCGGTTAAAAACTCATTTTCAATTTGTATTTTATTATTTAATAATAACATAATTCGAAATTTTCAAAATGTAAAATTAAAAAATTAAAAAAAATTTAAATGAGGCAAAAACCCGCCCCACCCCGTCTGAGGCGGGGCGGGGCGGGGTGGGGTGGGGGCGTCCCATCCCGAACCCGTCTCGTTGCCATCACTATGTTTTTATTTCAAATTATCTAATCATATATTGACACGTTTCTCTACAATTGAGTCTGTCATTGTAGCAAAATTGATATTATGACAGTCTAGTGTAAATTACTTGTACAAGTTAATTTAACAATTAATGAAGTGTAAACTTCATGAATAAAGTCACTTGTACAATGTATTTGCACAACATGATTGACAACAAGTGTGTTGGAAAAATTATGGCCATTGATCTTAAAAAAAAATTTCAAATAGATGGATATGATATTTATCAATTTATGCATTTGAATAAAATGTTATTCAAATTAGGATCATGTTACGTGTACATAAATATTAACACAATGATTTATATCCATGTGAGCTGACAGATTTTGATACATTAATCTTGACAATAGCTTTTTAATCAAATGCCAAATTTTTAACATATAGAAAAATGTCAATAAAAGTGTACAGTTTGTGTGTTCAAATAATTTAGTCCTTCAAATTAATGGTCAAACTGCCCCCCATGAATTGTTAAATTAATTGTACATGTAATACTGCTTTTCATATGCACTCTTATGCTTTGGCCAGCCAATTATATTCACTTATTCATTATTTATATATGTATTTAATAATCCTCAGACTTGTTTTTCTATATTTTAGTGGATGATTTAAGTTATAATTTTCAGTGGTATCACGTGTTTTAGCACCTGTATGACCCATTAAATCTCATCAAATTAAATTAAATTTTTCTTCTATTTTCAATTACGCAATTTTCAATAAAATAATATTATACGTAAATCGAAAAACTTTTCATTCTTTTACAATCATCCATTTTTCAAAAACATATATAATTGCCCCATTGGTCTCAAAGATTTATTGAAGTGCATCAAACTATTATTCTAGAATCTATGATATGAAGTAAGTCGAAGCTAACGACACCACGATGTTGCTACATGGACCAATGATTCCAGCAACACATCCACAGCTATGTGGTAGGCTCAACCTCGTCGAAACAAAAATTTGGGACGTACATACGTGGATGAAATCAATGATTCTAAAGTCACAGAAATGTAATAAATTATGGGGCTTAGCTACATGTACTTAGACATTTACACACCCCTCACATAGAGACGGGCCCTGCACATTTATTGTGTGCAGATCTCGCCCCTCGTGTGAGGAGTGGGTAACCAGGATAGCATTTTCCTAAACAAAGGTACCATGTCGTACAAATAGCCTTTCGTTTTAACGGAAAGGCGCGTGATTTAGAGCATGATATCAGGTGGGCCTCAAGATCTGGATTCCAACGTGGAGTGAATTTTGGGTGGTGACATGGTCACCTATGAGGCTATGACTCACATTTGCCTGATGAGATGATGTCTGAGTTCAATTTTTAAACTCTTCAAATTCCATGGCTTGATACCTGGATGATTTATTTTTATTTTTTTTTGTATTAAGAATATTAAAATATAATATAAGTTAATTCATTTTAAAAGTATATTCTATCGAATTTTATTTTATTGTGCCTGTTTTGTCTAATTTAGCCTTGTTTAATCACCATTATTTGGAAAAAAAAAATTTATTTTGAATGATAATTTTTAAAAGAACGTGTGATTACAACGTATAGAAAAATTTTGAATATATTTGCATAACATATTATTGTGTGAATGTACAATTAAAAATAAATATGTAGAAAAAAGCACAAAAAAAATGATTGTTAAACAAGGGCTTATTGTGCGCTTGATGTTTGGAAGAGTTAAATAACCTATTTTCATAAAAAGAAGTGATAGGCTTCACGAAATGGATGGTATAATATGGATAGTAATTGTAGGTTTCATGTAATGTACGATCACAATAATTATTGATTTTTACATCAATTTTAGGAGTAACTTTCAGGTATTACCAAACACGTACAAAATTAGAAGATGGAAGGTATGCATTGGTTAACTTTCATGTTAATTTTACATTTTCAATCCCTATGATGTTGCTAAAAGTTAATAAAAGATGGTAGATCTGGTGAAACATATTGTAAAAAGAAGATAAAGGTTGTGAATTCAGTAAAAATGTGTGATAACAATAAAGTTTGATCAATTTTTTATCTCGTAAAAACTTTACCAAACAAACACTTAGGCCCCGTTTGATTGCACGAAATTTTCCATGGAACTTGGAATTCGAATTCCAACTTCCACTTTTGGCCTGTTTGATTGACAAAATTTTCCAGGGAATTGATTTTCCATGAATTTCTAGGTACAACACCTTAAAGCGTGATTTTCCACCTTTTTTTTCCTAGGGGATAGGTGGTTTTTGGTTTTCCACCTTTTTTTATTTCATTTTTTTGCTTTTTTTATTTTATTTTTTAATTGTTGACAATGGGAACAAATTTTAGGAATAATTGTAAAAGAGGATATCCCTGAAATTGACAATTTCCACGTAAAACAAAGTCAAACGAACATCAAAAAATACTTTTACTTCAACATTTTCCACGTGAAAAATTTATACAATCAAACACAATAATTTACAATTTCCATGAAAACAATTTCTAGGTAATTCAATTCCTTAAAATTCATTTTCTTTCCATGTAATTTTCCTACTTGTAATCAAACGCACCCTTACTGTTTTTGTTTCATGTAACCACTCTACTATGTTTTGCTCATATTTATAAATTATTTATATGCACTCGAACTAGAGCCGGACCTGAGCATAGGCTTAACAGGCTGCTCCCTCAGGCCCAGCTCTTCAAGGGGGCCCAAATTTTTTTTTTCCATTTTTTGTTTTTGGTAAAACCCACTAATTTACGTAAAAGAATCCTCCCATAGATTAGATGTTTTGTAAATATCTTTAACGTTAAGTTTTAAATTAGCAACTGATTGTATAGTACACCGTTGGATTTTAATTTACGTTGATTTTGGAGGCCCAGTTTATGGAGTTCGCCTCGGGCCCCCACGATCACAAAACCGGCCCTGAGTCGAACTACTTTTCATCTACATATTCTAAGAAATTTACAAGTGTTATCCACTTATAAATCTTTTATTTTTATTTACTCATATTTTAAATCATTTATAAACTATACGCAAACATGGTCTATAAACATTTGACCGATCATTTTGCTTGAAATAGTAACTGGTGGAGTTCTTGAGAAATTTCTGACATAATCAAAGGAGTAGCGACTGACGCGTGTGTCATTTTCACCGTGAAATATAAGTTTGGTCCCAAATTCTATCAGTTTTAGAAATTGGATATAAAAAGACTTAAGAAAATGAATAATGAAATAAATTAAAAATGTAAATTATATGATCAGATAAATGTAGTTTTCTTTATTAAACCACTAAAAAATTGCCTTATTAAACACGTATGTGATCCTTCATAATTTTTTTTTTTAATGACGGGGGAACCCACATTCGCTACCCTTTAAATGCGCACTGAATAAATTCTCGAATTGACGTAATAGCATGCAAACCATGCTAATCAGGTAAACCGTATTATGCAAATTCGATACGACAGACTCGACTGAAAAAATGTTGGTAGAAGGAATCGAATTTGTGTCTAAAGACCTCAACTCTCACCTACTCCATCAACTCGATCACCCCGTATGATCCTTCACAATCTTTAAATGAGAGAATATGGCACAAAAACAAAAATTTAAAAGTCAACTTTTTCTATAAGCAACTTTAGATAAGTAGAAAAACGCAATGGAAAAAAAATAAAAATCGAACGAACGACAGGTAGACCAGTTTACTATATTAGCGTCCCCCCAAGTTTGAAATGGATTTTTCCCTCTGCACCGTGTGACAGGCCAGACCACAAAAAATTAGCTTAATTTCCAATATTTAACCCATCTGCACAAACCTCAAATCTTTTGGCTGCCATTTTTACTAGATTATGGTTCAAACTCAATTTAACACTGCGCATAATGTAAGTGACAAACCAACTTTTCAATCTAAACTCAAGTTAAAGTTAACTGAGAGATGACAATAACATCACGACATATATGCAATATGCATTTGAATTACAGGAAATGTCCTCTACAAGAATACAAAAAGGAAAAACGGGTTCTCTCAAAGTTGGCAGATCAGAGGTCGTGGGTTCGATTCTTGGGATTCTTGGAAGGCAAGGCACATACTGGAAGGCAGAATTTATCCTAGAAGGCAGGAGTGTTTTGGAAGGCAAGGCGCAACATGGGTTGGCTCACTAGGCACTTTGGCAGTCCAGTTGGAGAGG